AAAACCCCTCTCCATCCTATTGTCCTTGATCGAGGGTGAAATAAACTCTTCTCCCCAGGTCAAAAGATAGGTGGTGAATGTCACTATCCCTCCTGGTCTCGCCCTCGATTCCTGCCCTTTGGTGGCAAACGGGGAGGACAATGAAAAAAAGAAAACAAGAGATATAACCAAGCCACAGCACAGAGTTAAGAGCCATACACCCACTGAACGCGCCATCAATGCTGGTAGCATATAAAGCGACCGCTGACTCGGGATCCGCAGGGTTAGATGTGACAGACATTTCAGTCACATGAAAAGAGTTTCCCATTGGAGAAAACTTCTGAGGGAAAAGCTGGCTCAGAGCAGGCAATGAGTGCTGGCAGTTCACAGACAGCAGCAGAGCTGCTGCTGGAAACCAGCCCCTCCTACCCAGGAAGAGGGTGCAAATTCCATAGCTTCACCATTACCTTTTTATCCAGCGTGCATCTCATTCCACGGGGTTCTCCATTAGTGTGGAAGCAATGCCCCTCTGTGGAGATCTGTCCTTCTTCCAACTCCACCCTCCCTTCCTCTCTTCTTAGGTTCTCCTCTTCACCTCCAAAGTGCTCTGGGACTCTGCCTTTGTCTCCTCCTATGCTCCCTCCCATCCCATATGCTCTGCCAATCTACTATTGTGAATACTCCCTTTGCCTCCTTCACTCACTCCGGCTACTGTACTTCCTTTTGTGACACCTCATGTTCTTAGCTAAGCTCCAGGTTAATGTTCAACCAGATCTATTCCCCTTGTCCTTCAAGAGACAAGCTCACCTAGTTCGTGTTGTCTTCTGTATCCAATGAGTCCACCCCATTCACTTCCTTCTCTCATCCTGTCTTGTGTATGAGCATGTCCATCGCGGTACCTACCCTTTGTGCCTTAACACTGTTGAACCTTGGGATGGGACCTCTTTCTTGTTTGCTATTGTACAGTGTGGCTGCTGCAGAAATAAATCATCCTCATTTGCCTTGATCCAAATGAATACACTGGTGCAACCCACGGAAGTCACAGCAGCATATTCGCCCCCACCCTGCCTCTCGCTTTCATTACACTGTGTTGCAGGCACCAACTTGCAAAATAGCTCATGTGCGTGAGAGTTTTCCCCTCGGCATGTTGTATCTGGTGGTTTTAACCCTGTAGAGTGCCTACACAGTGTTTCCCCATCTGTTACAACTGTAGAGCCTCCGGATTTCAAATACCTCAAAGTCTGGGGGAGTTCAGAGCTGGGGTGAAGCCCCACAGTTTTAGTGGAGGTCCAGGAAGCTGATCATCAACATGGTCCAAAGGGGACACTTTCCCTTAAACAAGAAGATGAGGGTCACCTTGTATTCTCAGCTGCAACCAGTGTAAAATGAACCTTCTCCCTTCCCACCCCACCCCAGGGTTGCATCATCTAAACTGCCGGGGGTTTATTAGCCAAAGCAGAGCTTTAACAATGGGATGGCACCCTTGGAGTCTGCAGTGAAAGCCTTCAGAAGATGGCCACTGACATTGAGCACCGTGCAACTTGTCTTCGCTGACTGCGCTCATTTCCAGCAGGGTGATATTTCCTTTACCAGAATATTTGACTCATAAGAAATAACTGCTTTGATCAAGGTTCTGATTCATTGTTCTCACTGAAGGCTCTGCCCCATCAGTCATCCCCAAACCACACACACACACACAGAGCGCTGTTGTTGAGAGGTACCAAACTATGCACTCATCCCCGTAAAACAAGCCCAGTGAACAAACACTGATGGCAGTAGCTGTGCTCTTTTCTTAAAAGACAGCCAAGGCTGCCATGCATATCCCTTTCCCAGCGACAGAAGGCAGGAATTAAGCAAAGCTGTGGCAAACACGTCTCTCTCTGAAATACATAGAGATTGGAGATTTCGCACCAATTGCTCGAGGTTGGGGAGTAATATACAGTACTAAGAAATTGGCCACGCAAATAAACAGACAAATGTAGATAAGAGGAAAGGGAGATACATACCCAGCCCTGGGAATTTATTGGATGTTTACAAGAATCGACCGTCAAATTAGGGCATTTTCCTGGCTTCCCTTACAAATAAACTGCTGCAGAGAGAGACCAAGAAAAGATGTGTTAGTTTTGCATTAGGGGTCTGGTCCAGTGTAGTGGGTGAAAAGCCTCCCAATCACTTTAGTAGGGTTGGTAGTGGGTCTAAGGCCAGGTCTATATTAGGAGCCCTTAATTGGGGGTATAGAATACCAGTATACTGCACCAGTAAGGCACGCCTTATGGGAACAGAGCACATACCAGCCAAACTGTGCTTTTGTTGGCATAGCTTACTTCAGTTCCCTCCCTCACCCCCTTCCACACACCCCAAGTGAAAGAAACTATCCTGGTAACAGCAGTTTTACCCATATAACTGTGTCTCTTCTAGGGGGTTTTGCCAGCACAGCGACATCAGTCAGGGATCCCACCTCTCCATTCCCCTGACTGGCATAGACCTGGCCTAGATCAGATCCTAGCTGTGGACTACTCACATCTGATTCAAAACATGAGGCTGCACTCAAAGGACACACGCTGTACCATTTCCCTACCTGCTGCATCCAACCCAGCTTCTCCCAGAGAAATGAGACAGGATCAGCCATAAAATCAGAGGGAGTCACGCCATAGTTTGCTCTCCATTGTGTAACACGCAACACCGGGATTACAGCTTCCCCCAAGCAAAGGGGTGGGGTGGGAAGGGAGAAGGTTCATTTTACACTGTCTGTAGTCAGGATGTTGCCATAGAATTGGGACACACCAGAAACAAGCAATCGCAAGTGGTTCCAGGGAGGCATGAGACAGATCTAGTCCAGGATCGTAGCACACTTGTTTATACTAGCGAATGGTGACTAAAATAAAAAAAAAGATTAGCTCCACTTACTGCACATACTCCCCCGGTGATTCTCCTCTAGCCTGGAATTTCTCTCGTTTGGTTTACTCTGATCCTTACTAGGCAATGTGTTCATTGAAACACAGGAACTGCTTTGACTTCATAGCTGCCTTATTGCATTGGCCACTGCAGGCTGTCTCTCTGTTGTCATTAGCACACCGTATCATCTCCCCTCTACAAACACAGGTAGGCAAAGCTCAGGATGCAATTGCATAGGCATTGCATCAGAACGAGTAACTGCATCTTCCTTCTCTTCTCCCCCAGCTAAGGATCCAGGCATGGCAATGGAACAGTGGCCTGGTGTTTAGAAAGGATACTGGACGCAGGTTATTAAAAACGGCCTGTGGCAAACCACAGATGGGGGTAATAAAAATGACACTGAATCGCTCTGGCTGCTTGCTTTGTGATTAGCTACAGTGCATAAACTCTGGTACTCTTGAGCAAAAATTACCTTTGGGAGCTGATCTCAGAGCCAAAGCCCGGCCCCCTTGATACAAAGCCCTGGCTGGGATGATTTAGTTGGGGTTGGTCCTGCTTTGAGCAGGGGGTTGGACTAGATGATCTCCTGAGGGCTCTTCCAACCCTGAGATTCTATGATTCTAAGTGCCAAAATTCCAATGGATTTCAAAGGGACCAGAGATGTAGCAGAGGGGCAAATCCTGCCAGCCCCTTCTATGGATCCAGAGGAGCCTTAAATCTAGTGGGTCTGTTGTGCAAGCAGGGAGGGGAAAATGACTCCAGCTGCTTTTATGCAGGTAAGTTGGAGTGGGCTGCAGCGTGTGCCTCTGTCATTTTGTGCATCCACCTGGAGTGACAGGGCTGCCAGAGCCTAGTGGTTCCTGAACATCAAGTCTCCTGCTCCTCTGTAGCCTTTCCCCCCTAGAGATGCCAGTGCCAACTCCTGTTACTTTAGAAAAGCAATTGGCAAACAAATGAGGAAACGACTAGCCTGAAAGGCCCGGAAGTCACAAATAAGGAGATTGAAATGTTTAGGCTCAGCACGGAGGCTATTTGAGAAATTATAACAAAGTCTCCGAAGGCATGCACAGCTCTAAAGCAGAAAGGGCCCTAGAAGCCCTGGGGATCCTCAGACCAGTATCAAATCTTCCTTTAGATCTTCTCTCACAATATACACTCTCTCTCTCTCCGGTCCAGTGTTGAGTATAGCCCGTCAGAACCCAAGGATCGGGAGCCATTAGGGTTAATTATATTTCAAGATGTTTCTCAAATTATACATTTGAGATCAAAAATTGATCTTGCTTAATGGGGAATGTGCAGCTCTTGCTTTTTCTACCCAAGTCTTATTTCCTGCCCAGATGAGGTAAATTATTTTTTGGTTATGGTAATGCAACAACCCTTTCTTGCATCTCAAATTAAAAATAAGGAAGCTAGCAGTTTTCAGTCTGGCTAACAGCTCTGGTATTGATCCAACAGTTTCCTTAGTAGATATTTTGAGGTAGCTGAATGTAATTTAATATCTATTTAATTATTCTCAAGCCAGTCTAAGCAACCATATTTACTGCTTGAGATTAATTTAAAAAAAAAGTGTTAATTTCTTTCTTTTCAGAGGGATTGTCTTTCAAACCATTGTTAAGGGGGGGGGAGAGGAGGAGGGGGGAGGCATTGATATTCTTTTTCCTTAACATTTTAGGCCAGATTCTCAGCTGCGGTAAAAGGCAGATCTTCCAGCTAAGGATCTTTACCATTTGTTATGAATTACTGGTAGAATTCATAATGAAATCATAAAGTGTGGGGGAGAGGGGGGAGAATCTACGAAACAAAGAAGGAAAAACTGGTCAAATGTCATCCTGGCAAAAGGTTAGCAATGAACAGGACTGATGCTGTTCGATATATTTATCAGTGATCTGGAAAATGGGTTGAGCCGTGAGGTGTCAACATTTGCAGAGGACTCAAAATCATTTAGGTCAGTTCACGCTAGAGACCATGAGAGGGATCTCACCTACGTAGGTGAATAGGAAGAACAATGGCAGTTGCAATACAATACTGACAAGCAAAAGCTAGTGAACATTCGAATAACCTGAACTACTCCTACAAATGATACATTAATTTAGAACCTGACGATCACTAGGGGGAGAAAAAAAACCCGAGACCTGTACATCATTTCAGGCAACACAATTAAAATCTCTGCTCTCTGTTCAGGGGCGGTCACAAAGTCAAGTTCTCGCCACAAACTTTCCACCTAGATCAGGTTGAAATTTTTTGTGGATGAAAACTAGCTTTTTCGACTCAATGACAATTTTTGCAAAATATGTGTTTTTTTTAAAAGAAAACATTTCTGATTTCTTTTCCTCCTCTGTCTCCCGTTTTCCCCCTTCTCTTCCATTTTGTCACTGGAAATGGAAAAAGGAAGGAAGGAGAAAAATGGGATAAAAAAAATGTCCCTCAAAACTAAAAAAAAAAAAAAAAGGCACTTTGAGTGGGTGGGTGTTAAAAAAAATTACAGAAAACAGCTGTGGGAAATTTCAAAAACAAAATAAAACAGGCTTTTAAAAAATGTTCACAGCTAATATTTACCATTTTCAATGAGTTGCATCTCTAACCATGGTGATGAAACAGAAGCGTATGCCTCCACCTCCTATGGTAACTAATTAAAAGAAACACACCCAATGACCACTTTGCAGAAAGAGCCACTATTTCATCTTCTGTGTAAACTTCCTTCCCGGCTGTCATGCCCCTTCTCGCTGTGTCCCATGTAACCTAGATTGTAAGTGATTTAGGGTAGGGACAGTCTTTATCCTGATCATAAAGTGCCCTGCTGCAAACCATCAGTTTGCTTTCTGGGTTGTATCCCTTTCCCTACTCTTTTCCTATCTTGTCTACTTGGCTGCCACACTGGGGACTGACCTGGGACCTCCAGAGCTAAAAGATCACCTTTCCTTAACTTGGGCTGTAAGAGACTCGCATCCTCTGTGGCTCAGACACCCCCCCCCCCCCAGCAGGTTATATAAACTATGAATCCAGGCACTATCCCTTACTGTGCGTTTGTAGGGTACTTAGCACAATTTGCAAATATTAATTGTAGCTCTTGGGGCTGGATCCTGACGTTTCTGAATTGCTGAGCATCTTGCCGTTCTCGTTGCCCCGAGTTATCCCTGCAAACCAGGTCTTTAGTTGTGTTTGGAGCAGCGCAGAGCACAGTATAAGAACGTGCCAGCGCTCTTGTCCAGAAAGTCCTCTATCCCTAGCAGCCACAGGAATTCAGCCTATTGCCCTCCATGTGCAGTCAGTCAATTCCCTCCCTGCTCCAAAACGGAGGTCTGATTATCCTCGCGCTGGTGTAAATCAGAAGCACAGACATTAGTGCCACATGGGTGTAAGGGGAAAGAGAATCGGGCTCCAAGGAACCACCGCTGCCAGGGACTTCCTTCGCCCAGGCTTATCGAGTGCAGAAGCGCCTCCGAACAAAGACCCAAATGCAGAATTTCCCAGCACCAATAGATCAGTGACAGATGAAGACTGACACTTGGCCAAAGGGACACTTACAGAGATGAGAGTGAGCTGATGTTGGGGGACCGGGGGAGGAGGAGAGGAGACTGAACTTTCCTCTTGCTGCCTGGCAACTGGGCAGGAAATACAGCCCTTTCCCTCTAACCAGCCTACTGTGTAACAAGTGCGCTAGAACAAGGCGGTGCGTTGACTGAATATGGAAGGCAAGGTGTCCGCAAACCGAGTAACCTTGTGCACACTGAACTAAGGTCACTAACTCACAGCAGGGCTGATTTGGGCTCACTCCATGCTATTACCTATGCATGTGAAACTGGTACTTCACGCTTATGTAGACAGACACACACACACACGATTAAACTGTTCTTAGACTGCAAGCTCTTTGGTGCAGGGACCATCCTGTTCTGTGTTTGTACAGCACCTAGCACCATGGGGTCCTGGTCCGCGATGGGGGCTCCTAGGAGCTACAAGACAAATAATAAAGGGTGGAGTCTCAGCTTGTGTGTTTAATTGCTGAAGCATACATAAGACATATGAAAGGGATGTTGGACAAGCAGACGGCAGGTGGGGTGGGTTCTGTTCCCAAGCTCTGCTACAGACTTTATGACCTTAATTGCCCCGGGTCTCGGTTTCCTCATCTGAGAAATACCATGCAGCTATTTATTAATGCTTGTGACGTGCTCAAATACCACAGTGAGAGGCACCAGAGAAAAGTCTATTAAAAACAAACAAAAACTACTGCTCTTGATCTGGGCACGCAATCGCTATTAGAATTAACAGGATTTCAACCACTACCTGAGCTCAGTTGATAGCCCGTCACACACAGCTTTACTATTTGCCATCTGCCACCGATGCAGAGCAGTGAAAGGTAGACTTTGCTCTCAAACACTGTGTTAGCAGCTGGTGTAGGCTACACCTGAATTCATCAAGTAGTCATTAGGGAGAAGGTGGAATTTTAGATGAATCCAATCTGAGAACTGAAAGACCTTTTGTCTAATGTATGCCCCTGCCCGCAGAAAATCTCTTTACTAGTGGGCAGTCTAATTTTAAGATGAAACGTGTGAAATCTAGTTTGTGAACAATAATTGCACTAGGTGTCCTTTCCCCACAGTGGATTGAGATAAGGTTTGTGTGTCTTTCATGCCAAAGGAATCCTCTGCATTGCAAACAAAGCACCCCTGGCTGGAGAGGAAAAACTGGAGAGATTTGCCCCTGTGCACATTTGCGCAGTCAGATCATTCTTGTAATAAGACTTTGTGGGAACAGCCTGCTAATCGGTAGAAAAGCAAAAGGCTGTTGGCATTCTTAAAAAGCATTAAAACCTCAGCATGAGCTATGGCTGAAATCTTTACATTTCCAGCCAAAGAGGAATTCTGGAGTGGAACAGAAAATAATCCACCCCAATCTAAAGGATGAATGAGGAAAAGCCAGCGTGACCAAGCAGCTCTGGGCACTTGGACATTAACAATGAGGTGCTTCCAGACTAGTACAGCAAGAGTTCCATCGGTTCTCAGACTGACAAGTGTGTGTGGTGGGGGGGGGGGCGCATCTCTGTCTACTGGAGAAGAGAAACCACAGATAACAGGTACATAATTAATGGAGATATCCCATCTCCTAGAACTGGAAGGGACCTTGAAAGGTCATTGAGTCCAGTCCCCTGCCTTCACTAGCAGGACCAAGTACTGATTTTGCCCCAGATCCCCAAGTGGCCCCCTCAAGGATTGAACTCACAACCCTGGGTTTAGCAGGCCAATGCTCAAACCACTGAGCTATCCCTCCCCCCCAAAGCTACATACTGCAGCGTTGAGCTAGCCGAATGGTCTATGAAGGATACAAAACTGCATCGTCCATTGCAATAGCAGCACCAAATGCTTCAAGACAAATGGGTTAAATCTAGGGGCCAAGCACCGTTTCCCGGGGGGGGGGGGAAGGGGAAGAGTCAGCTGGCACCTGTCCAGCCATTGATATGGTTTATTTATAGTCCAGTGGAGCTGGCTCTCAGGGAGAGGCTTACGTAATTCTAGGCATCATACGGCCCTGGTTCTTTCTAGGCCCACTGCAACGTAACACAGGTAGGGCTGCTTGTTTCAATTTCATAGCCAGTTTAAGAGCTTGATTTTCTGAAGAGGGTCTTCCCTTAAGGAGATATTTGATGAGAATTTAGCTTAGCGATTAAGACAGAAGACTGGCAAGGCAGCAATATCTGCTCTCTCGTTGCATCACATGACCTTGAGCAAGTCCCTGTGTGCATTGGTTACCTCATTCAACAAAGTAGGGTTGACGCTCTCTCTCCTAACCGCTATCAAAGCACCCTTGTGAGATAGGAGTTTTTAGACCCTTCGACAAACAATGCTAGACGAGTGTAGGGGGTTATTTCTTGTCCGCTACCATGCAACAGTTTTGCATCAAGTAGAATCTTTCGTATTTTAATTATAGCGCCACTATCCATAAAAGCAGCCCTTGCCCGACTGGTCTCCCTCACTCATCCTTTACAGAGCTTTTATCAAGATTAGGGATTATCACCACCCCAATTAATGGAGAGATGAGGCCAAAACAAGAAGCCTCTATCTAAATGGGGTCTGATGCACCTCGATTTCTTTACGAGTCAGGAGACAACCAAAAAGACTCATATTTTGTTCCATGCTGTTCTTAAGCTCAGAAGAATCATAGAATGTCAGGGTTGGAAGGGACCTCAAGAGGTCATCTAGTACAACCCCCTGCTCAAAGCAGGACCAATCCCCAACTAAATCATCCCAGCCAGGGCTTTGTCAAGCCGGGCCTTAAAAACCAGAAGGATGCTGCCTAAACCAGTATGAGCTCGGTATTACAGTACAGCAGAGATCAGTATGGAGTAGGAAGGGAGGCTAATTAGTGCATTCATGTGTCTGGCTACCAGACTACAGTGGGAAACAATGACTAGCTTCCATTTTGCCAAGTGATCACGGAACAAACACTTTTTCCAGGCATTTTGGGGGGGGAGGGGGGAGACACTGGTGCATAGTGGTCTAGTGGAAACATGGGTTTTATTCCAGGCTCTGTCCCTGACCTGCTGTGTGAGCTCAGGCAAGTTGCTTCATCTCCTTAGGATGTTTCTCCTCCAACCCTCTATCTGTCTTGTTTATTTAGATTGTTAGCTCCTCAGGGCAGGGACCCCTGTGTGTCCACAGCAACTAGGTGCTACTGTAACAGAGAGTAAGTAAAAGGCTGCGGGGGAGGGGGGAGAAAAAGAAGAAACAACTGAAGAAACTCCAGAGTTAAATAAATTCTTTACTTTCAAATATCATAGTGCCCGGCTTCTAATTCAAGTTAACAGTAGAATATATAGAGGGTCTTAAGACAGTAATTCACAAGCTCCTGACGACTACTAGCCAGTAGTGCACACCCAGACTTTTTTTTTTTTCCCCCTAGACTGGGCTTAACCTTATTTTAATGTTACCAACACCACTACAGTGACAAACTCCACTCTAGGAGGACATCAGTTCTGTGTTTTCTAATAGGTACAGACTCACAGGCTTGCAATTTAAACCTGTCCTGCATCTCACACCCCTTTTCTGAGCAAAGAAAACCGCTTTTTTAATACCCACCAAGAAGCACAGAATGTTATTGTTCCCCTTGATACCTAGATCACACAATGCATATTTGAGACATGGCCATGAAATCTTTGGATAAGCTCTGAATCCATATAAAGGTTAACTAGAGTCTCGCCAAGATAGAGGGGCCTACAACTTACTGAAATAATGTAACACCTCTACGAGAAGCACACAGAGCTATAGCATGACTAAGGGCTGGACACTTCATCTGAAGCATAGCTGTTACTGCTAACACTTCCACAGGCCCATTCCTGCCTCCTCCCCTAGCCGTTGATGCGGTAATTCACATGGATTTCCGGTTTGATGTCGT